GGAGTAGAGAGTGAGAGGTACTTGCACCTGGAATCTGGACTTCAGGAAGACATTGAGTGACTTTTGGGCTTCCCCTCAAGAGGGAGACTTGATCGGAGGCTGCCATATCTGCATCGGATTGCTGCAAGTTGCTACTTTGGTCTTCAGGCATCGACGGGGGATCCGGCTTTGCAACAGGGGTGTAGGAAGGCCCTCTTAGTCATGCTAGGACACTTCGTGTAGTGGTAGCTAGGGGTCAGGAGGACTTATATGAGAGAGGAGTGACTCGTTATCCATCTTTGGAGGCCGGGCCTCACAGGTAAGTGCCGTGTGACCTGGGTATGCCCGTGGGAGGTTGCTTGGTGCTTCATGGCCTGTTGGGGGTGTGTTGGGTTCTCTTCCTCTTCTCTGCGGTCTTGGTTGTGTGTGTGAGCTTGTGGATTGCTTTCTCACCTGATGGATGGATGGATGATGTATCTGCTCTAAATGACATATCTTTCTACGGTGCAATGTTTTTTCATTTCTGAACGGCTGTAGGGGTAAGTTCTTGCTGAAAGTTGTCTTTTCCTTTTCAGTACAGTAGAGGCAGTTTGGGACCGACTTGGTACCCCTATCACGTTGGTCCTGGTCCACAACCTACTTGGGATCCCTCGGGACCCAGTGGGACCAGGCCCAACGGGACAGGATCTTTTGGGCCCAAATCTGTTGCCGCTTGTGCATTTCTTTGCTGCGCTGAACTTGGGGGACATACGGATAGCAAGGGCATTGACTGGTCTTACCGCTTGTTATCACATACTTCCCCGCGTCTGACTCGGCGACCATCTGCACCCCTCGAAATCTCCATTGCTGCAGTTAGTCTTCTTCGGCTGATTTATTGTGATGCATGTCCCTTGTCAGGTTAGACAAGAGGGGATCTCCAGCTGATCTGATCGGGCCCGTTCTATAAATCAGTCCTCTCTTCTGTTTATTTATTTATTTTTATTTATTTTGTTGCGTGCCGCTCTCTAAGTCCAAATGATTCGCCGCTCCGGCTAGGAGTTCTACCTTCTTCTCTGTGTGACTTTCAGTTTGTTTCTTTCATTTGAACTATCTATGTCCAGCATCGAGACGCGTGCGCAGACAACGAAAAGAGAAGAAAGAGAGAGAGAAGGTGTTCTGTTTGAGATTGTGAGGAGGGGCAAGAGGAGTGTTCGTCCAAGCGTCAGGAGAGAGCGGACTCCTCTTGAGAGCTCTACTGACATCCCTTCCTCCGGCATGGCAAACATCACATCTGCCCAATGGCAGGCCATGCTAGATGCGGAAGACGAGAGCGAAAGACCGTTCTTCCAGAAACTGTATGGTGATGTTGTGCAGAGGGAAAGGGAGGCAGCGGCAACAGCTAGAGCTGCCAACATTGCTGATCAGATGGCTCTCCTTCGGATCCCGGAAGCCAATGCTGACCGGTTCCAGGAGGAACTAGCTGCTGCCGTAGCAGCCTTGGTCCGGCTGCGGACCTTGGAAAACCTTGAGTCCCGTGTGACAGCACTAGAGCAGCGAAACCAAGAGCTGCAGGCTGAGATAACCAGCCTCAAACAGTCTCAACTGGCTKTCCCCCGCCCTCCTAACCCTCGACCTGCYGCAGTCCCGGTCTCTCAACCTAACACAGTCCTCATGACAAGGGCAAGTGGAACTGTGGCAAGCGCARGAACCAGTGCCAGCTCCTCGAGYRGCAGCGYCRGTAGTTYTGCGCTGGTCATAGTCCCAAGTGCAGGGACATCAGCCCAAAACGCCACAGTCCTCACTGGCGTTCAGTACAGCGGTCCCATGGTGGACAAGCGGGCGGCCACGCTGCCGTCCAAGTACGACGGGAAGGCGRACATCACCTCCTGGATTAGTTCCATGCGGTCATAYTTCGAGGTCATGCGGACACCGCAAGAGGACCGAAGTATGATCATGGGGACTAATACTGAGCCCGCCGTACGRAATTACATTGAGCTCCAAGCTGTTGCTGCAGGTTATGCAAGAATTGACCTGACTGAGTGGCTGAAGGTAACCCCAGTACGCACCCTTGAGGACCTTCTCATCGCACGATACCAAGACAAGCATGCTGCACTCAAGGCTAGGCTGAAGCTTGAGGCCCTCAAGGGTCAAACATGGAGGTCCTCCATGCAAGCTTTGGAACAACACTTGACTGGTCTGTTCACTACTCCAGACCTGGGAATGGCTGACGTGTCTTGTATGGATGTAGTCATGGGAGTGGCCCCCAAAGAGTATCTCTCCCTGTTGGCACTCAAAGACCACTCCACCTGGCGAGAGCTTATGACGGATCTAGTCAACCTAGAGGCCAAGGACCTCGCCAGGCGGAAGAAGGCGCCCGCTGCAGGTGGGAAACCACAACGCAAGCGGTTTGGAAGCAGCAACCAGCTTGCACTGCATGATCATCGGGAGGCTGAAGATCAGTTCTATGCGGATGATCTGACTCTAGATGACGATCTAAAGCCGGACTCCGATATGGGCTGTTCCTCATCAGCCATTGAGTCCRACGTAAATGATGACGAAAAGCTTAATGCTTTCAGAAAGACTGCTTCAAACAAGGGGCCGAACCGTGGTTCAGGTAAGGGAACTGCAATCCACCTCCCTAAGAATGCAAGGATCCCTGAGAAACCGGAGGATGCATCTACCAAGCCTTGGGAAGCCCTCCGTATTAGTCAGAAAGAGTGGGAAAGAAGATTTAAACTGCGCATATGCCTGCATTGTCAAAAACCTGGGCATGCTGTGCAGGACTGTTTCAGACTTCAGGGAAACAACAAAAGGGCGTAGAGGAGTCATCAGCACTCCCTACAACAAGGGAAGCTGGAACATCAGATGCAGGCCCCTCCGATGAGCCTGAATCTGATCAACAGCCCACTCTTGAAGCCCGGAACGACGCTGAAACCAAGGCTGCTGCAATTCATGTGCTTTACACTGAGCCTTGGGAGGAGTCTAAGGAAGTTGACTTCCACGCTCACATGGAACACTGGCTGCAGCTCAAGCAGCAACGCCGTGTTCAGGGGAGTGTGGAGCTAACCTTCTTTAAACTGCTCATCAACCATCGATACATCCGCGTGCTGATTGATAGTGGTTCAACCACTAATTTCTTTTCTCCTAACGGGATTCGTAAGGCGGGCCTGGGAATGAAGCAAGTGGAACTGCAGAACCCTTGTCAGACGCAGGTGGGCAACCAAGAGGTTGTCACCTCTACACATGTTGTCAAAGGTGTGCGCGTCACCTTTGACAAGGACCGCACTGTCATACATGAGCTCAACTTCTATGTCATGGACAAGTGTCCGTTCGACGCGGTCATTGGCTTGGGCTGGTTAAAGGCTCATTGCCTAAGGACCATGTGGGCGGACAATCAGTTCGTGGTGCGTGATGCCAAGGGGAACGAGCGTACCGTCCTATTGGATGAGACGCGCGAGTCCCCTGTGACTCTTCTAAGTGCAACCAAATTCTGCAAATCAGTGCGCAGGCGCAAGGAGATTGAGCATGTACATGTAGCCTTTGTAAAGCCTATCCATGTGCCTTCTACTTTTGCTGCATTTTCTACCTCAGTAAGTAACTCTACTTCTACCACCTCTACTTCTAATCCATCTACTTCTACTGTGAATAATCCCTTTTCTTCTGATCCAAATGCTTCAAATCCGGTTGTAATTGTTGTAAATTCTCGAACTGATTTTTTTTCTCCTGATGAGGATGATCCTCCACCGGAAGTCCCAACAAACATTCGCCAACTATTAGATCGATTCCCTGAAGTCTTGGCCGAACCTCGTGGAGTTCCCAAGCGTCCGGTCAAACACAAAATCGAGATAATAGAGGGGAGTGTTCCTCCAAAGGACTGCGTCTACCGTATGGGACAAGGCGAGTTGGAGGAGTTGAGACGGCAGATTGATGATATGATTGGTGGATGGATTAGGCCCAGTGAGTCTGAGTTCAGCGCACCTGTCCTATTTGTTCCAAAGAAAGGAGGTAAACTCCGGATGTGTATTGACTATCGTGGCCTTAATCGGATCACAAGGAAGAATGTTTACCCTTTGCCTCGCATAGATGATCTGCTAGATGTGGCAGGTGGGTGCAAGGTCTTCTCCAAGATCGACCTCAAATCTGGCTACCACCAGATTGAAGTTGATCCGAGTGACCAGCACAAGACAGCATTCAAGACACGCGACGGGTTGTACGAGTTCATTGTTATGCCCTTCGGTCTTACGAATGCACCGGCCACATTCCAGTGCCTCATGGACAAGGTACTTCGCCATCAATTCAACAGGTTTGTGGTTGTGTACCTTGACGATATCCTGATCTTCAGCAAGACCATGGAAGAGCACATCAAGCACCTTGAGGAAGTTTTGCAGGTCCTCAAGGAGGCGCAACTGCACCTCAACTTGGAGAAATCTGAGTTTGGTAGGGACAGCGTCATCTATCTTGGGCATCGGTTGTCTGCAAACGGCCTTGAGTCGGAGGCAACCAAGGTTGAGGTCATCCGAAAGTGGCCTCAACCCGCGAATGTACGCGAATTGCGTTCTTTTCTTGATCTGGCCTCGTATTACCGGAAGTTTGTGCCCAAATTCTCTGTCCTTGCTCACCCTCTCTCAAGACTAACCAGCAAGAATGTTGCCTATGCATGGTGTGAGAAGTGTGAGACTGCGTTCCAAGCCTTGAAAGAGGCATTGGTGAGTCATCCTGTGCTTCGCATTGCAGATCCCAACCTCACGTTCGTAGTCACTACGGATGCGAGCCAGTTCGGGATTGGTGCAGTGCTGCAACAAGATGATGTTGATGGCCTGCGTCCGCTCGAGTATTACAACAAACGCATGCCCAACCACAAGGTAGCTACTTCCACGTATATGCGTGAGCTCTACGCCCTGCGCGAAGCTCTCGCACATTGGAAACACTACCTCTTGGGTCGCCACTTCAAGGTCTACTCTGATCATCAGACCTTGCAGTGGATTCGGACACAATCTGAACTCTCTCCTACATTGACCCGCTGGTTGCATGACATTGATGTCTACAGCTTTGAATTGAAACACAAGAAAGGTTGTTATAACTGGTTGCTGATGCATTGTCGCGCCATCCTGAATTCTTGACTTGCCTTGTGGGTTCGTATGACCTCCGAAAGAAACTGAAGGAGGATCTGATCGAACACACCGCCAAGGATCCGGACCTTAGTCCCATCCTTGAGCAGCTCAAGGCTGACCCTAACAGTCAGCCTGATTTTCATGAATGCGAGGGTCTTGTATTTCGCCGTTATGGGAAGTTTGACCGCTTGTGTGTACCCAACCATGCGCCTCTTCGAACTCATTTCTTGGACCTGGCACATGGTCGGAGTGGACACTTTGGCTTTGAGAAGACTTATGGAAGTCTTCTGCAGCAATTTGACTGGCCAGGGATGAAAAGATCTGCTCAGAAATTTATTGCTGAATGTCAAGTATGTCAGAGAACCAAAGTCCATAGGCATAAGCCTTATGGCCTGCTGAGACCCCTCCCCATTCCTGATGGACCCGGTGAATCGATCTCCATCGACTTCACGGACATGGGAAAGGTGAGTGCAGCAGGGAATTCACAGGTCATAGTCATCGTGGATCGTTTCTCCAAATTTCTGAATCTGATCCCTTTCCCTCCCCATGCACCAACTGAACTTATCATTGAGGAATTCCATCAGCAGTACATTCTGCAGTTTGGCGTCCCGAAAACTATTGTGAGTGATCGGGACGCCAGATTCATCAAAGATCTGCAGTTTCTCCAAAGATTGGAAGGACTTCACGTCGCAGATCTATGACATTAAATTGAACAAGACTTCTGGTCGACACCCCGAAGCCAATGGATTGGCTAAGGAGATCAACCAGACTGTCATCCAACTACTCCGCGCATTGATTGTTCCAGATCAGAACACGTGGGACAAGGAGCTGCACAAGGTAAAGGGACTGTATAACAATTCCATTCATTCTGCAACTGGCGTGTCACCAAACCAGCTGCAGTATGGATGGCCCATGCACAATCCCCTCTCCTATCTGTTCCCCGAACGGTCACCTGGTCTGATGCCCGACATGCCTGGCCACAATGCCAAGTACGCACGCTTGCTCAAAACTGTGATCGCAGCCATGAACAAGCGCCAGCCTGCCATGATCAAACATGCTAACAAGATGCGCAAAGAAGAGAAATTCAAAGTAGGGGATTATGTTTGGGTCAAAATGTCTGAGTTCTCTGACGAAGAGGGCGTATCACGAAAACTCCTTCCTTTGTACTATGGCCCTTGGCAGATTCTGAAGGTGATTGGGGATGATTTTGGCCCTTCATTTGTAATTGACGTGCCTCCTCATCTACGCACGTATCCAGTTTTTCATGCGTTCAAACTGTTTCCGCACATTGATGATGAGACTTTTCCCTTCCGAGATCCTATGATACCTCGCCCTATCGACAGCGGCCATGAGATAGACAGAATCGTATCTCACGAGGGCAGAGGGAGGAACATACAGTACAAGGTTCACTTCCTCTATCACCCGTTGACTGAATTTTTCTGGATCGACCGGAAAGAGCTGCTAAAGAATGCTCCCCGTGTTGTGAACGCTTACGAAAGACAGACTATCACCGGTTGACTGAATTTTTCTGGATCGACCGGAAAGAGATGCTAAAGAATGCTCCCCGTGTTGTGAACGCTTACGAAAGACAGATCGCAGAGGGACAGACTGCTAAGTTCGTTGCAACAATGACTCCTCATGGATTGACTAAGTCTCTCTTTCTGATGTACTCCTACGACGCATTCTGTGCCGACTCTAACTGAGTTACTCGCTCGAAGGGACCTCGCTCTCGAGAGGGGAGTAATGTAATGACCCGCCAAAACACAGACTGAGAACACTGCTGATTTCTGGGATTTGTCACTGGAATGAATGCCTTGTTGTGATTCCCGCATTCTGCTATGGTCCCAAGTCTGTGTGTGTGCATGCCTGTCTGAGGTGCCTGTCGTTTGTGTGTGTGCGTGCCTGCTGGTTTGCATGCTTGTCTGAGTGCTTGCCGGTTGGGTGTGTGTGTGTGTGACCCACAAGGACACTTGTTGGTTGCAAGGCCCGCCGGGCCGGTACTTACCTGTGGCCGTGATTGTGAGGGTTGCAGGGGGTAAACACTCAAGTAGCGGTGGGGTAGGCCACGACACTTAGAGCAGGTAGGCCGGTACCACTCGAGTAGTGGTATGAGTGTCGGGTACTGGAGGCCGAGCAGAAGAAGACAAAAAGTTGGCATTTTTAGAGGCCCAGTAGCGGTAGGCTAGAGGTAGGCCGGTACCAGTCCAAGTAGCCCGGGTCTAGGGCCTGT